GAATTTGAAATCATTTTATTGCAAACTCAAAGTTTATCGATAAAGCCATTTAATAGTTAAAGGCAGTTTAGTTTTATAAAGAACACTTTAAAACGTTTTGTGAATTGTTTGTGGTTGAATTTTACCTTAAATTGAAGCTTGTATTACGTATAATTACATACCTAACATGTATATGCTGGGAAATTGATAATTTTGTAATTAAAAGTGATATTTTTAGGCAATTTTCATTTGTAAGAATATTCTTAAAAAATTATCGTGTCACCATGACAACTACTCTAGATACTTCTTGTTCGGAAAATCTTAGGGAAAATACAACGGTTTTGTCAGCAAGGCGAGGGTTTCTGCATGCATGTATTTTCTAGTATGTATTTTACAATGTGACGGTCCAATGTTGGTAGTATTCTACAATAAGCTAATTTAATACCGTAGTTTGTGTCTGATTTACCTGTCGTGAAAAATATATCTCAAACATGGTGGTCCAATGTTGGTAGTATTCTACAATAAGCTGTCGTGGTTTGTGTCTGAACTACCTGAAAAAGATATCTCAAACGTGGTGGTCCAATGTTGGTAGTATTCTACAATAAGCTGTCGTGGTTTGTGTCTGAACTACCTGAAAAAGATATCTCAAACGTGGTGGTTCAGTGTAGGTAGTATTTTACAATAAGCTGTCGTGGTTTGTGTCTGAACTACCTGAAAAAGATATCTCAAACGTGGTGGTCCAGTGTAGGTAGTATTCTACAATAAGCTACCGTGGTTTGTGTCTGATTTACCTGTCGTGAAAAATATATCTCAAACGTCATGGTCCACTGTTGGCAGTATGCTACGATAAGCTGTCGTGTTTTGTGTCTGAACTACCTGAAAAATATATCTCAAACGTGGTGGTCCAGTGTAGGCAGTATTCTACCATAAGCTGTCGTGGTTTGTGTCTGAACTATCTGTCTTGAAAAGATTAAAACACTTCGATGTTCAAAGTTAGTTTTTCTTCTCAGATGGTGTAAGAAATCGAGCCACAGTAGAGCCCAGGTTCTTTACTACATCGCGGAGAATATGGAATTACGTCAGCAAGAGCTTGCGCAGAGGATTTGCGTAATGACGGGACAGGATGCTGATGAAGCAGAGAAAGAAGTTAAAGTGGCTATACAACGTGTGTTTCATTGGGCTGCGTATACTGATAAATACGGTGGAACGGTGCAGGTGAGAATGCTTGTGTTCAATGACTTAATCTGCTTTATTAGTTCTAAACTGTTCTCTCCAGTATGGTTATTCTTTATTCCAGTGTTACTTCGGGAGAAAAATGGATTACACTAACCAGTGCATCACCAACATAATGTCAACATATTGTCATCCCTATTTATCTGACAGGAAACAAGTTGGTATGGTACAACCATTAAAGTTCACGAAGCAGTTGGTGTAGTTGGTATCGCGTGTCCAGATGAGTTTCCTCTTCTGGCCTTTGTATCTCTGGTACTGCCCGCCATTTCTCGAGGAAATACAGTGGTGGTGTTACCCAGTGAAAAACATCCTATTGTTGGAGCGGACATGTATCAGGTCAGTGCCTCACAATTAAACTAACTTTATTTATACTGGGTAGCTCTATCAGTTCTAAACTGTTTTTCCTCGAGGTCCAGTAAGGATCATCTCTTATTGATCCAGTGTTACTACAGGAGGAAACCTAAACTAAACTAACTTTATTTATACTGGATAACTCTATCAGTTCTAAACTGTTTTTCCTCGAGGTCCAGTAAGGATCATCTCTTATTGATCCAGTGTTACTACAGGAGGAAACCTATACTAAACTAACTTTATTTAAACTGGATAGCTCTATCAGTTGTAAACTGTTCTTCCTAGAGGTCCAGTAAGGATCATCTCTTATTGATCCAGTGTTACTACAGGAGGAAACCTAAACTAAACTAACTTTATTTATACTGGATAGCTCTATCAGTTCTAAACTGTTCTCCCTTGAGTTCCAGTAACGATCATCTCTTATTGATCCAGTGTTACTACAGGAGGAAACCTAAACTAAACTAACTTTATTTATACTGGATAGCTCTATCAGTTCTAAACTGTTCTTCCTAGAGGTCCAGTCTGGATCATCTCTTATTGATCCAGTGTTACTGTGCACAGGAGAAAACCTAAACTAAACTAACTTTACTTATACTGGATAGCTCTATCAGTTCTAAACTGTTCTTACTAGAGATCCAGTAAGGATCTCTAGTAAGAGATCCTTACTGGATCTCTTACTAGAGATCATCTCTTATTGATCCAGTGTTACTGCAGGAAGAAACCACAGAAAACCTGCAATATTTAGTAGAATCAAACGGAAGCACTCTTCTCGCGTGCAACTGTGGTGAAATTAAAATAACTGTGTCACTACCATCCCCGTCTTGTACAGGCCTCTAACAGACATTTACCCATACTTAGATATTCGACACGTCAGATCTCCCGGGGGGAGTGGTAAATATTTTGACTGGTGACCGTGATCATGTGACCAAGTTCATTGCGGAGCATCAAAATGTCGACGCGATGTGGTACTTCGGATCTGCAGAAGGATCGAAATTTGTTGAGTCGGTCTCGGCAGAGAACGTGAAACGCACGTGGGTGGGCTATGGTGAATCACGTGATTGGTTGGACAATGAACAAGGTCAAGGTCAAGAGTTTCACTATCATGCAATCGAGTGTAAGAACATTTGGATACCGATGGGACATGTCTTTGCAAACTGAAGGACATCTGGGGAACATTTTTGGGAACATTGGGGGTAATGGGGGTGAATGAACCTATCCAATGGGTAGTTGATGATAATGGGCAAAAATATGTCTGGTGTCTCAGACAGTGTGAAAATGAAATGAATTTCTTTCATCGAAGAGTAGACATTGAATGTATTTTGTGAGATTGCGTCTGATTGATTGTATTGACAATTTGACAAAACAAACAATGATTGTATCGAACGAGTATGTGATTTATAAATATCCTCTCACATTGAAATGACTTGTATTTATTGTCATTCAGCTGTTTGTTTGTTTATCTGTTAGTTCATATAGTCAGTTTGTCTGTTTGTAATTTAATCTGTCAGTGTCCTCCTCCCCAGTTGCTCACTTTGCGCTCGTCCTATCATGCGGGCGGGCTCCTTTGTCGGGCTTGCATTGCCCGCACAGCCGAACCACTGATCTCTAACATGAAGTGAAGCACTGGAGCGGAGGCAGGTAACTCGTTACCAAACTCATCAAGGAAACGCGGTCAATTCCTTCGAACTTCTCTTTCACTTCCTGTTTATGTGGCAAAGTAGCAAAACACATCCTCGCAAAAACTCGAAATTTTCTAACCTAATTTCACAATGGCTACATCTCTCGAACAACTAAAACAACATACAATAGTGGTTGCAGATACTGGAGATTTTAAAGGTATTGTCCTTTGCTTTATTTTACTAAAAAAAAACCCGTCAAAAGTATGACATTTTTGACATAAATTCATTTGCAGCTATTGATCAATTTAAACCCACTGATGCCACAACGAACCCAAGTTTGCTCTTAGCGGCTTCAAAAATGCCGGAGTATAAACACATTTTGGACGCAGCTATAAAACACGGGAAGAATAGCTCTCAGTAAGTTGAAATATTGTACATTTTTACTTAAAAATTGTTGCAGATTTGTGCAAATGTGGGGTGTCAATTTATGGATACATAATGTAATATATGAGCAGTTTACTACGCCAATTTTAAATTGCAATATTTTTGTTTATATTCAATTTATAGCTTTATTTATAAGGTTTTCTACAGAAATGAGAAATACAAACAATTTATATGATATTGATTTGAAAATGCAATTTGTAGACAAAACTGTACAGATTTAGTCAAGTTCATTTGAATATTACATAATTTCCTACCCTGCCAGCAGACTATTGAATAAGGCAGAGGGTCTGCCAAAATTGTGCTGTTTCTTGCACAGCCTCGCTATTTCTGCAAAGCTTTCTTACACAGTAATGAGTAAAGTGTATTCTGATGATAGTCAAATTAACACCCACACTTAGCCCACAGCCAGTAAAATTGTCTTGTGTTATAACATGGATAATAAAATAAATGGATATGAAACTAGCTGACGTGACCTAATGTTTTTACTGGGATTGATGGCGTGGTTGGATGCCTCAACCTAGTTGAAAATCAAATTCTCAAAAACGGCATGTTTAGCAATAATACAGCTAAAAATTTTAGTCAAAGAGCAAATAAATGTAACCACGCCATTCTACGATGAAAACTCTAAGTATTCCCAGTCAATTTTAGCAAATATTTCAAGCACTAAACAGTGAAAAATACATCGCAAATTTTGTTAAAATTTGTGACGCCAATTTCGTAGCTACAAATGTAAAAAAATTCAAAACAAAGACGAAAAACATTTACCTTGAATACTTTGTCATGGCTTAGGCATGTTTTTAAAACAATTAGACCAGTTTACGCTTCAAGATCACCCTTTTAAAGTGGAAAATATAGCAAAACAACAAATATGCCGAGAACTTTGGTAACATTCGCAATACGCGTGACGTCACGTTTTTCAACAAGGATGCAGTCAATGACGTCAGAAGTTTCCAATCCATTTATTTTATTATCCATGGTTATAACAAAGTATGTAATTTGATGTGTAAGTTTGTTCTGTGTATAGGGACAAAAATGAACAAGTTGAGGCAACTATGGATATGTTGGTATGTGTTGAAATGTCCACTTAATACACAGACATGAAACTTAAACATACTGACGTTGTCAATGTCTTGATGATTATCAAAATATTTAAATGCTGTTGTTCTTATAGTATGTATTGTTTGGCAAAGAGATTCTCAAAATTGTCCCTGGACGAGTTTCAACTGAGGTTGATGCCAGGTAGATATACCGTATACCTATGAAATTTAATACAGCAACATATGTCTGCTTTATTGATATTTAAATACAATATACAAAGCAACATTTTATTGTATTTTATTATTTCATATTTTCAGACTATCATTTGACAAGGAAGGACAAATAGAGAAGGCTCGACGTTTGATTGCAATGTACGAGAAAGATGACATTGGTCGAGAAAGAATACTCATAAAACTTAGTTCAACATGGGAGGGAATAAAAGCTGCTGAGTAAGTTCAGTTTAAGGTTTTTGTTTCATACCAAAGTTTAGACCTCCTCAATCACCAGCTGCATGTACCCCTTCCCCATTGACCCCCCTGTTTACCCCTTCCCCCACCCACATTTCTTCAATCAATAGTTGTGTCCTTCACTGCAACTGCTAGCTGAGTACACCCCCACCCTACCAGATCAAGTCTAATGTATCCCTGAAGCATATCCCTCCCTTTACCTGTAAAGTTGTGGCCAGCTTGCAATGTATAGTGATATTACATAGAGAATAATACATGGGTGCACGGAAATACCAGATTTATTTCGAGTGTTGAACATGATATCTCACTAGTGAGCGCAGCGAACAAGTGAGATATCATGTTCAACACGAAAAATAAATCCGGTATTTCCAAGCACCCATGTATTATATAAACAAAATTCAGTGAAAAACAATATAAAAACGTCTGTGGTAATGCGTTTTACAACAAATGATATTTTCACACATAAAAATATTGTATTTTTTACGTGTGTTTAAATACGATTTTTCTCAGTGGCCAAAAACTCTATATAACACTTATGTTTATATAATAAATATCATTAATAAATTTCAGAGTTCTGGAAAAGGAAGGAATTCATTGCAATATGACACTACTTTTTTGTCTTGCACAGGTATTTCCTGTCATTTAATTGCTCATTTGTTCATTCATTCATTTGTATATTTTATTCATTTGTGTATTTTATTCTTTTCATTTATTTGTAAGTGCATTGATTCACTGCCAGTTCATTTATTTCAGGCAGTTTCATGTGCCGAGGCAGGTGTAACACTAATATCCCCATTTGTTGGACGTATTTTTGACTGGTTTGTCAAAAACACTGATCAGAAATCCTATGCTCCGGCTGATGACCCAGGTAAGAATGTTACAGTATTTTAAACTTTTTCATTGTTGTTACTTGCTACGAACTAGATTTCCCCTCAGATTCATTCCAGTATGTCTTCACCAAACACCAAAATACTTAGACCTGTAGGAATATCCAGTATAAATGAAGTGATGTCCCTTACTTGACCTCTAGAAAGAACAGTTTAGAACTGGTAGAGCTATCCAGTATAAATAAATTAGTTTAGTTTAGGTTTCCTCCTGTAGCAACACTGGATCAATAAGAGATGATCCTTACTGGATCTCTAGGAAGAACAGTTTAGAACTGATAGAACTATCCAGTATAAATAAAGTTAGTTTATGTTTCCTCCTGTAGTAACACTGAATCAATAAGAGATGATTCTTACTGGACCTCTAGGAAGAACAGTTTAGAACTGATAGAGCTATCCAGTATAAATAAAGTTAATTTAGTTTAGGTTTCCTCCTGTAGTAACACTGGATCAATAAGAGATGATCCTTACTGGACCTCTAGGAAGAACAGCTTAGAACTGATAGAGCTATCCAGTATAAATAAAGTTAGTTTAGTTTAGGTTTCCTCCTGTAGTAACACTGGATCAATAAGAGATGATCCTTACTGGACCTCTAGGAAGAACAGTTTAGAACTGATAGAGCTATCCAGTATAAATAAAGTTAGTTTCGTTTAGGTTTCCTCCTGTAGTAACACTGGATCAATAAGAGATGATTCTTACTGGACCTCTAGAATGAACAGTTTAAAACTGAGAGCTATCCAGTATAAATAAAGTTAGTTTAGTGTAGGTTTTCTCTTGTGTAGTAACACTGGCCAAGTTCTCATCCATTCAGTTTTTGTCTCCAAGGTGTGAAGAGTGTAACTGCGATCTACAATTACTACAAGAAGTTTGGCTACAAGACAGTTGTGATGGGAGCATCATTTAGAAACACAGGCCAGATAACTGAATTAGCTGGATGTGATCTTTTGACAATAAGGTAATGTAGCTAACTAGACTATGGTTTGTGTCTAAACTCCCTTACTCCTCCCAAATATTATTTTTTGATAAGGGCATGGTAACGCTACTATCTGATGAAGGGTCTCCTTATTAGAAATGTCCAAGTGTTAAACTTGTGTAGTGTCAATATATGTGGTGTAAATATTATGTTTTCCTTTTGGTTTTTACAGCCCAAAATTGCTAGAATCCCTGAGTTCTTCAAAGGAGACGGTTGAACGAAAATTATCACCAGAAGCTGGTATGCCAATTAATACTGTACAATTAATTGAGTTTTGATTCATGAATTTAATGTTCAATAAGTAAGTAGGGTGTGCGTTAATCATCCTTATACTTGCTCAACTCCTTGGTTAATCTGTCACCTGCACCTCTTATTCAATTTATTAATAATTTCATTTCAGCGGCCAAGGCGGACATTGAGAAACTACATTTAGATGAGAAAGCTTTCAGATGGCTGCTCAACGAGGATGCGATGGCCACGGAAAAATTATCTGAAGGGATTCGGAAGTTTGCTGCAGATTCGGTGAAACTAGAAGCTATGATTAAGGGAATCTTTGAGGAATTCCAGACAATAACTTTAGACTACGATTGTTTAGTTTTATGTATGCACCACATCCTTGACTGATTAACATTTGTAATGATAGATACAATCTTTGACAGGTTGGGACAATCACATGCTTTCGGTTGTAATATATACCATTTCTTAACACATTTATTCCACCCTCCCTCCCCCCACCCGTTTCAATGTTGGCGTCTCACGACCAGACATCAGATTTTTGTCAGCCCAACATTGAACTGGGGGAACGGGGGCGTAGCGCAGCCTTTCAAATTATGTGAAATTACAGCACCTGTCCCGATTTTGTCAACGATTGTACTATTGTGGGTAGAATATTTCATTTAGCCCTAGCCTGCGAACAGGCGTTTATTCAGGTGGGCCTAGTTCTATAAACGGCTGTTTGCAGACTAATTAATAGCCCCAATTCATTTGCTGCATAATAGTGCTGATACAGATAGTGAAACCAGAACCTACTATATTTCCTAGTGTAATAATTTTGGGCAACATAACTTAATGTGATAGCACTAAATGTTTGTAGTAAGGTGACGTGATCACAATAATAAATTTGGTAAATTTGCACTAAATTCTCAGGGATATTATGGAATATACATTTAATACATAATATGAATATGAAGAAGCTTTTGTTTTTCCTCTCCCCTTCGCAATGAAAATAATAAAAATAAACCTCTGGAACCAGGGTAGCTTTTGTTGAGCTAACAATTACGTCTGCGCAGGAGGCTAGGCTCTAAGTAGACTCCCTACAAATGCAACTACCTAAAAATATAAGGAGATTAATTTCGACGTTTTGAGCAAAGGCTCTTCGTCTGGAGTTTCAACCCTAGAAATTCTCCTTTCAGTTTTTGGGTTGTTGCATCCCTACTCACACTGGCACAACACTGTTAGGCATAGATATCTTATATACACTAGATGCGCATATCTTTTAGTAAAATTGAAGCCAAGAATATTCCAGCGGTTACCCCCATTTGATTTAAAATTTGCTTAATTTAAAAACAACAATAACTTTCATCATTTGAATATTTGAAACTGTATTTGGAATAGGGTTAACTTAATGTTTAAGTTCTCTGTTTAAGAAATAGAAAACATACAAATCTTCTCATTTGGTGGGAACGACCTGAGACTGCAATCACGGCTTCAATTTTTGAATTGCAGAATAATTCGATGCACTATCTAGTCATCTAAGATATCTATGCTGTTAGGGCACAACAGTTCAAAAAAATATATAGATATATGTAAGCTTTCTGGTGGCTCCTAAACGATGCCTGGCATTCATAACACACGGTCTGTGGGACGTTTTTGTTTGCAGCATGTGCTTTCTTGTTGTAAAGCAGGATCGCTGACCCCCTCTCTCTCCTCCGCAGAGGCTTACATGAAGTTTCTGGTGAAGGAAAGTGAGCGTGCAAGGTGTGATGGGAAGAGCTTTCAATCGCTCACTTTTATTCAAGATACTTCATGTGAGTTATTTGTAATTTAAATTACTTAATTAAGGAGGCTCTCTGCGGAGGAGAGAGAGAGTGTAACCCCCCACCATTTCACTTTAACTGACAGCTCGGAATTTGTCGGCTTGCATCGGTACAGTGCCGAGATCCCGACGGCGTGTCGGGCATTTCCGAATGTTGCATTTTACAGCGTCGGTGAAGAATGGAGAAGCAAAGAAGAATTAAAATGGAGGACATTTTTTATCAAACTTATCTTTATTGGAAGGTAATATGCTTTATTTAATATCAATCCTTGTAGTAGAGTACTCAGACTGCCAATATAGATGGAAATTTAGGACAACAAACCCGAATTCAATGCGATATTTCGACATAAAGTTTGTGCTTTTGGCCTTTTGCTTTGCACGTGGTTCGCTTTATGGGCGATTGTCGAACTTTAAACCGAGTAAAAAGACTAACTGAGATCTAGAATTGTTTAAGTTGTCGAAAAAGGTTGCTATCTCTGAGTTCTTGCCGAAAATTTTTCTTGGTGGGGCACTGGGGCTTCTCAGATTATGCAGGCTGAGGGTGGTTTGAAAAGAAGATTGTTCTTTTGAAGAACATCTGCTCCAGGCTCCACCAGCAGCAGTGTAAAGCCTTTTTTGAATGGGCTGGCAATGATTCAGATAATTTCAAAAAAATTAAAAGGACACCTGGAGTCAAAATGAAGTTTCTAGTTAAAAAAAAATCCAATCAAATTATAACGTTTCCAATGGTCGGCATTTTTCTGATCAATTTTGAACATTAGGCCACATAAAAAAATAGTATGTTAGCGTCCTTAGCTTTTGCCAAAAAGTGGGCGGGTGGATGCTTTTTTTAGATTTTTACTAATTTTTAACGCCTTGATTTTAGGTCCGAAACTGGATTTTCTTGCACAGTACAGATATTTTTAAAATTATTTCAAAATATGATTCATACCGTCATTTTCGCACGCAATTTCGCAACTTATTAACACAATTGACAACAGTCAACAGAAATACTACAATACTAAACAAGTAACCCGACCACTAGCCTGTGCACATCCTGTATTACCCTGTACTACAGGTACAGGGTAATACAGGATGTGCACAGGCTACCCGACCACATCTAGAAAAAATATTAGGGCAGAGAAAAGATTTTCGGTTTCAGTCTCAGGTGCTCCACACATGTTCATATTGAGTTTGTCATCTCGCTAGTCAAGCTATTCACATCCTCAGTAAAATTCTCATAAATGTTTGTAGATGTACAGTGGAAGTTTTAAGAATGTTGCAAGCCCCTGCCTCAAGATCTCGTGATTACGAAAAATGGACACATTCCAAGATCCTGAATAAGAGGTAAATGATTTTTCTTCTAATTATTTTTAACATTCTCCTTGTATTTCTTGGATAATTTTTTTTGTATTATATTAATTTGTTTCATGTTCTCAATAGTGAGTTTTTTAGATTTTCTAGATGTGTGTTGCAATTTCCAAGAATGTCTCAAGTTGTTGGCTGAAGTGTTATTGATCACAAAATGAACAGCGTCATTGGAAAGTATATAAAAGGTCTTAATATTTTCCTGTTTTATCTTACATGAAATGCTTTGAACATTATGTGATTGCTTGTGATCAATGGTTTCAAAAATCCCTGCAGAATATTGCAAAGATAGCTTGACAAAATTCAACAAAAATTACAAACACAATCTTTATGCCTAAATATGGTGAGTGCATAACAATTGCACTCTTTTCATTTGACTTGTATTAATTTGGAAAATTTCAGTTTCATGGCCCTCAATTACTTGATTAAGTTTTGTGTTGCCACTGATCACAGAAAGTATATAATTTTCAACGCATATAAGCATTATATGAGCAAGCCAGAAAATGACAAACTGTCAAAATTTTGTTTAACAGTGATGATTTGGTTTCAATATGCATTTTTTTTTGTTTGGCATAATAGGTAAATCTTAAAGTGCAGAATATATAAATTTCTGTTTGTCTGTGTTCTACCTGAGAACATAGTTGTTTCTACATATTTCCAAAGTTTTTGCAAATATAAAAAACTGAAAAGTTTGTCATTATTTGGCTTTGTTACATCAGTTAAACATTGAGAAGATTGAGGTGGTCTTTATTACAAACCAAAACGGTTACTTACAAATAAAACATACAACTCTATTCATTTTAAAGGGTTGAGTATTTTCTTATAGTCATCTTTCATGTTTCGGGATTAATTTGGAGCATGTTTTCCTCGAAGGATTAAAAGAACATTGATGAACATTTTTCTTATCATAATTTATGTTTTGAACTTATTGAACTGCATTGTGAAAACTGCAATTTATGTCCCATCTCAATCTTCTCTTGTTTAAGTGGACTTACATTGTTTGTTGAAAGTTTGGAAAGTTTATCTGAAAATCACAATGTTTCTTTCAATGTTGATTCTGCATGTTGAATCTTACAAAAAGCAATTAGTGATCAATTGAAGTATACAACACTTTTAAAATTAGCACTGTTAGAACTGCCTCGTTGTTTAACAGTCCTGTCTTATTTATCCCAGCACACTCTTAATACATGAGTTTGATTATTCCTGGACACAAATAAAATGGATTTGTTAAGGAACAAGGCAGTTCTATACAGTACTGACTCATGGGAGGGTTGTGTTCTTCAGTTGTTTTTTTTATCATTCAATTTCGGAATTAAGAAAGCTTTCCCAACTTGAAAACAAACAGTTAAGGTCGAGATAAGCTAGGATATTGCCTTTACTGTATTAGAAAGTAGAACTTATTTGAATATGGATGAACTGAAGCAGCAAACTATACTTAATTTTTTTTTGGGGGGGGGGGGATGTGAGATATTGAAAATGAAAGAAAATTGATTGTCATGCATGGCAAGGAAAACCACAACCAGACTACTGCATGATGTTCTTTGGAATATGTTTTGTATTATAGGGAAGGAAAAACAATCAGTATTGAAAACTATATATTAATTAACAATTATTCGCCGAAGGAGAGGGTGACTATCGGTGAATAAAAACCGAGACAAAGTCGAGGTTTTTATTCATGATAATCACCGAGCCTGAGGTGAATAATTTTTTTATTGTATAATTCCACAGGTGATTATTTGGGAGGAAAAAAATACACATTTCTTTGTCATTTAATTGACAAAACATAAGGTGAAGCAATCCAATAATTGGAATATTGAGGCTGAAGATAAGATTGACAGTTTGTTGTGATAGGTGTTAATCAATGCATAATTTTGTAAGATTTGAATCAAAATTCAAGCATGGAATTAACCATATTTTTAGTATTCATCAAAATTTTTGTGTGTTTCATCACAAACAAGATAGGCAATGACTGAGATGCAAATTTTATAATTTGAATACAAAGTTATAGATTTTAAATAATCTGATTTTATTTTATTCAAATCAGATTGAATTAAGTAATTTTGTACTTTGGTTTGGATACTGAGATGACAAGATTTATTTTTTAAACTTATTGGCTGATTGTGGTTAATAATTGTTTGACAATTAAAGTTAAAGTTAATTTGTTAGTTTTCTATGTCTACATGTATTTCTTTTGCTTCAGTTCAACATTATTTTCAAATAGTTCCACTTTGTAATGGTGTGTTATAATAGTCAAAATAATAATATAAGAAAACAGGTTTATATGGCACTTGAACATGGTCTTTTCAATGAGTATGTAAAGGTAAGTTTATACTTCAAAAAGGTCTGTTTTTAACCTGACAAGAATTTCGTCCAAAATTAACTAAAACTCAATCTTTGTGACCTTTCAATGAAATTTCATAAGTTCAATCAGCAACTGCTACTACTGTATATGTCTTTTGATGTCTGTGTTTGGTTTGCTTTAATGTTGATACCAGAAATTGATGAAAATGCAATATAATATTTTGTTTGTTGAGATCTGAGGATTGTATGGAAACTGGAGGACTTTGATCAAAACTGTTTGTCTACTTTTGAGTTAACAAAGTATACCCATGCAAAACTTAGTTTCTGTTTTTTTTTATTATGCAACACAATAAGCTGTTTCCTAATTGAAAATTACCTTTTGGTTTTGACCAATATAAAGAAAAGTGTAAAAAAAATTTTATGAACATTTGAAAGTTTGGTTCAACCACATTTTGTAATTGTGTATTTCGCTACATGTTTTGCATCAAAAACATTTCCTGAAGTGTTTTTTTTTCTATTATAAATAATATAAAACCGGAGAACTTTTCCCTAGGTGAAATTTAGGAGATGTTTGTAGTGGATCAATGTGTGTCATTTTATTATATTTATCAAGGACGAGAAATGTAGCATTTTCTTAAGCAAAGCAAATTGAAACCGAATTTTTGATCGAAAAATCAATCAGAATTGAAGAAATAATAACATTCTTTTAAAATTTTATTGAACTGCATTTTCATCATTGAATTAGTATTAACATTTTATATAATCAATTCAAAATTGTCAGGTTAAAAACGACGCTCAAAGATATATGGCTCCAAAAGACTGCGGGATAATTTCAAATTCTTAAATTCTTGATTTGGCACTTGAAAGAAATTTATATATGTTCAATTGAGTATGGAACCAATGATCTAGTCGTAATGTTTCGATGTTTAAAAATGTTATTTCTGAGTTTAATGAAGTATGCTGTCGATGCATTGTCAAAATGTTAAGGCACTTTAAAGGAAATTAATTTTCTTCAAGCAATGGAATTGGTTGTCAACGAGAATGTCTTGCCAACCACGTGACAACTGATCTCGCATTACAATGAATGGTCTTCACTTTGCATCTAAACATCGCGATAAACTAATGATTCTCCATACTCAAGCGAAAAGTTTGGTCACTTTACCAAAAACAGCAAAAGCGTGTTCGATTTACTTTGTCTTTGAGCCATATATTTTATTTGTAAAACAACCTGGTGTTACGCTTTTCATTTCTCCATCACTCCTAAAATTTATCATTAGAGTTGTTTTACAATATTTGAAGTATAAACATTTATCTTGAAAAGACCAGGTTCTCTTGTTTCCTCAAGAATTAACTCTTTTGATGTTAATTCGCGGGCAAACAAGTTTTTTAATGTTGTGTTTTCACTTGTGCTTATTCACTTGTGTGGAACACAATGTTAATTGTTCTCTTTGTGCCATGTTCTGTTTTCTTCTATTGTTATTTAAATAAGTACAGTATGCAGTGGTTGTTCTCTTTTTATTATTATTCAAATTGTAAAATTACAAATTCTTTTCAATAAATTGTTCATTAATTATACAAGAGACTCCTTTTTAATTCAAAATTCAATTCCCATGGGAATTGAAAAAAAAAATAAAAAAAATCCCTCTACCCCGGCCGGCTCCCCAAGTGCTACCTCCACTTCAAGCAGAAGCACTTCTACAATATAGTAGAAGTACTTCTACTTAAAGTAGAGGTAGCACTCGGAGAGCCAGCCGGGGTAGCGGGGCGAAGAAAAGACCAACCTTGCAAATATGCTAATGCAAATTGCTAAGTTGATCTTCTCTTGAGAGCAGCCACGCGCATACCTAGCAAATGTAAAACAACAAGCATTAGTAACAAATACTCGACATGCAAATTTTGAATCCCATGGCCGAAATATGACAAGTGCCCCCCACTAATTCCTACCAACTGCCTCAATCCTAAGCTGTCTGCCTCGGTCCTAAGCTGTCTGCCTCGTTCCTAAGCTACCTGCATTCCATTCGTAACTTCCGCTTTCCTCACCATCACACAGACACTCACAACTGCCCAACCTGCCACCACCCGAACTTCCCACCCTTAAAACTGAAGGAATTAAAATTTTGGTAAATTTAATTAATCGGATTTTTTAGGCCAAACGTATACAAAGGTTGACAGTCAGAAGAAAGACCGCGTATACAAACAGGTGAGTTCCTTACTAGACTCTATACATGAAATTTACACAGAAAAATATACCAAACCTCGAAATCCCGATTTTTTCTTCTATATGCTTTACTAGCAGACGACAAATTTTGGTGATGTTAGGAAATTAGTCCTTTTGTTCAGAAAAGATATATTTTCTCTTTAAATATACAAAATTTTAATTCCTTTAGTTTAACGTAACCCCATGCATCTTATACACACGGCGCACACTCTCACACTCCATACATTTAGCTAATAAATTACGTTATAAACAAAAAAGCAAAATAAAAAGATAAATTACGTTATCACTAGCTACCTTATAACCCACTTAGACTGAGTTTTGGATTCTGGTTCGAAACGTAAAATCTTAACTGAAAGGGCATGGGCTTGAGTTTTGTTAACTGGTCCGAAGTAAATACAAACCTTAAACTTACCTAAACCAAAGGCTCGATTAAATAAGCATGAGAATGCACAGAATTATTTTTAAAACTTTTTCATAAGAGTTTAAAATCCAAACGAAAATTAAAATGTCGCTAATTTAGGGAGCATATATATATAGCACTGTTTATCTATATAGTTCAAACAGATCGAAACAGACTTAACCGCAATTCTCATACTCATTTAACCGGAACGTCTTGATGATCATTTGCATGGCACGTCGCAGCTGCTCTCAAACCCGCAAGTAACAAGATACTTATCATATTTAATCAAAGAGGATTCATAATTATAAAGTCAAATTTCCACTATGAAATCACCATCAACATGAAAACAAAGCATAGTATATTCCCCTGGGAATTAAAAATACGGAAAAAATAAAATCCTTTACGCTTGGGCAAAATAAAAAGAAATTAACATAAAAAACGAAGTACCTGTACAGGGTATAGAAATTATCCTATTGTTATAATTTGAATGCCTGAGCACTATGCTGAATACAAGAGTGCGTAAACACAATTGAATTGAATTTTTAATTACCAGGAGCATGAAATCCTGTGCTTAAAAACAATAGGATAATTTCTATAGAGGGCACTTTTTTGGGGACACCCTGTATAGTATATTCCCATGGGAATTAAACACAGGAAGAATAAAATCCACCAATTCTTAACTTTTTAATGGTTGAAATAGGGTTGCTTGTTTTCATGGCTTGTTGATTTCATTGTGAATACAAGACTTCTCCCATAGTTAACGGAATATAAACATGAATAGGGACCGCATCTGACAGGAATTTTATTATCAACACCAACTGACGATAAAAAAGAGGAAATGCTTGGTGCTAGATTCCAAGCCATGTTTATTTTACATATTAACTATGGGTGACGCGGATTAATATTTTGTTTTCAGAAAAGACTATACAATCGAAAATACTCCAGGCAAGATTTCGTGCTTTTAAGGTATTGTTGCTTCGATCTTTTTTAGTTATACGTTACCATATAGACTCTAGTTCGTCGCAAAAACACTGCGTTTTTTATTTTACCTGATTTTTAGGGCAATTATTTCTATACTCCGTAAATTGGAAAACAAAGTCGAAAAATTTGGCAAACTCGCATACTTAATTTCAATAAGAAAATCATTGTATTCACTTGAATCCCCTTTGATCTTTAAATAAGTAATTTGTCTTTAACTAACTTACATTGGTAAAACTTTTCGCTATTTTCATATTAGCAATGTTGTGGGTTCTGATTGTTGCGAATCATCATTCTTTTCTTGGCTCCATTCGTGAGTGGCTCTGTTTGGTCTTTTCATCATCTCTTTTCATCACGTCATCAGTTCATCATATCACCTTTTGAAATTAGAAAAGTATCCATGAGTCCATGAAATTAGTGGCTTGAGTCCATGAAATAGTTCTCACAATTTTACCAATTATCGCAGACAAAAAATTGCCGTCAATATTTTAGACTTCGGCGCCAAATCAACGGCATTAATTATCCCATAATAACAATTTTGAATTGCGTGGTATTTCATGTTTCAAATGATCAATTAAATGAATTAATATTATTAATGTATATAATTAATGATGTCGATGATAACCTAGACCCAGGCCCTTCACTCGGCAGGTTTTGGTCCATTTTGGGCTAGCATTTGGTAAATATGACGTCACAGGCTTTTGCCCATCCTCCGCCCAGCCCCCAAGGCACGTGGGTCTCAGTCTTCTCATGTGATAAACCACCGAAATTAAAAATAGAAGGTGTAGGCTGACGGAGTGTTTCATGTGACGTCACCCCAACTATGTTGGAGGGCAATATCCAGGGGGGGCACGGCGGGGGACTTCTTGTTGAAACAATAGAAAGGTAGGAATTTT